AAAAAGTATATTCACTGGATTTTATTTTCACGAAATCAACCCTTCAGCGAAAATAGCGAAAATAAATTCCAAGTGAAAATAAAGTATTCTACAGTAATATTCCTATATAAAATATGTTTTACCTTTAGCTTGCTTTTTGAGTACCAATTCCCCACAATTGACAACACGTATGTCTGCAATTGGTCGACTGCTAGCGTCAGTTTTCTGGTTTTCAACTTCCTTCACTAGCTCAATACCACTGATCACTTGACCAAATACAACATGTATTCTACAAAAGAAATCAGATGTAAAAACTGAAATAATTTTGAACAGCGCCTCCAATCTATCATTTTTACTGTCACCGCCATATTGTTTTGAAAACCAAAACAGCAATATTGCCAGCTATGTTAATGACTGGTTTGCTAAGCACGCTTTGAGATCGCTTTGACACAGGCGATGGTGTGTGTGGTATGTGTGGCGATGGTGTGTGTGGTGTGTGTGGCGATGGTGTGTCTGGTGTGTGTGGCGATGGTGTGTCTGGTGTGTGTGGCGATGGTGTGTCTGGTGTATGTGGCGATGGTGTGTCTGGTGTATGTGGCGATGGTGTGTCTGGTGTGTGTGGCGATGGTGTGTCTGGTGTGTGTGGCGATGGTGTGTCTGGTGTATGTGGCGATGGTGTGTCTGGTGTGTGTGGCGATGGTGTGTCTGGTGTGTGTGGCGATGGTGTGTCTGGTGTGTGTGGCGATGGTGTGTCTGGTACGCATCATTTTAGCCGAACAGCACAACCTCATAAAGCGATTTGAACTAACAAGTTCTAATCATGTAACGAATGTTAAGATGCGAATAACAAATCATTCAGCAACTTAGTTGGCAATGTTGATGTTTTGATGTTCGGAACAATATGATGGTGGCAGTAACAGTTCCCCAATATCGCGTTACAGCAGTACCAGATACCGTACTTCCTTGATCATAAGCCCCTCCCAGAGTATAAGCCCATCCCTCTGTTTTTAGACAATTAACGAGTTGAGGGCATCCCCGAGAATAGGCCCAGGATGTTTTTACCGGGCGTTGACGACATTTATTAAAATATGCATGTAAAAAGTGTATCTCATTGCATAAAAATCATGATTGGTATGGTAGTTTGGTTTTTGCTTTTAAGAGAACTTGCTATAATAAAAAAGGAATGCATGGCGCGCGAATGCATGGAATGCATGGCGGGCGAATGAAAAGAACATGGTTCGCACATTTTCTATTCGAATATTTACTCCGGATAAACCCTGATGTTGCAATATGGAAGTAATCCATATTTTTTTTTGAGTAGTAGTTTTAGAAACGCCAAAAATATGATCGTCAAGCCGTGAGACCTGGTCATAGAACATCGTTTTACTTTTCCGAATAATCGTGTCAATTGAGACTGTCGTGAATGGGGTGTTAACAAGCAAACTATTATTATTCGACATGACTTGTTTTGCGACAGTGAAAGGTTTAAATACTTCCTCTACCCTCAGTTTCCCTTTCGAAAATTGCGAATCAACAGCTTTTAGAGAAAAAAAATCATGTATTTTTTGTCGAAATCAGTATTAACAGATTGCATTTGAACATTGCGGTAATTCACTTCCGCATTGCGTTGAAAAAATTACTTCATCAATAATCAGAAAACTTCACTTGTGCGACACAGCATTTTGATTGGTTAACGAAAGATGTGACCTGTTAGGTCAAAGAAAGCCGTTTCAGGTCAAATTATGATGAAAAACATCATGGCATCAAAAACATTCCACAACGAAGATAATAATAAAGATAGATCTTATTTTCCCATAGAACCTACCCATTTTTGCACCGTAAATTCACAGTAGGTAAATCGTATTGTAATAAAATGTGTGTATTTTTAAATGTTTGTTTTTTCATTGTAAAAAGTTTTGTGGAAATCAATGACTCGATTTGCATTTTTTTTTCTCAAAAAAACGTAATATTTCTCCAAGACCGACGCTGTGAATGAAAAATGTATTTCGGATAATTTTTCATGGTTGGGAAGATGGTTATAATTTTAAACCACCAAAAAATTATCTTTTCTGAGGTGGTCCTCGAGTATAAGCCGATTTTCAGGCCCCTGGGCTTACGAAGTACGGTAATAAATTTTTACAGCACCCTCATGAGATCATGAGATAGCATCGCCATACGACCATTTTGAAAGAATCCCCGCACCAAGTCAACTTACCCATCAAGATGGGGCGCCGGTTTAGTAGTACTGGAGTAGAGAAGTAACGTCCGGAAGACATGAAAGAAACAGACAAAATAGTAGAATTAATACGAAGCCGAGTTAAGACATCTGTTCATCTTTAATGAGTGTACACCACACTAGGCTACAAATATGATATATAGGCTCCAATGGTAATAGAAATTATACAATTACAAACTATGGAACATGAATTTTTATCGAATCTGAAAACACGTCTAATTCTTAGAGACGCAAAAAATATTTAATACGTCGATATATATATATATAGATAGTCCTGTGCTAGTAAGACTGGAGCCGACTTTTAGGTGTTATTGATATAAATACATCAGTTGACACAAAATATGTAAGTGATAGAATCACTGTGTGTTATGTTAAACAGCATAAGTGTATACATGATAAAACCTGTGAAACCAATTACCTTCGACAGGCTGGAAGGGCACAAGTATTTTCTGAAAATAATTTTATACAAATGGCAAAAGAGACAAAAATGTCATACAAAAAAAACACTAACATTGTATTCATCATGTGTGCAAGGTGAAAAGACCCCCTAGGTGATGCATTATTTATTGCCGGGAACTAGCCAATCAGAATCACTGAATGGCTATTCAAACCTAGAAAGGTCTTAACTGATAAGGTGATAGGACCCCCTAAGTAATGCATGACTCTGACAGTGCCTGAAACTAGCCAATCAGAATCACTGAATACAAACCCAATACCTGAGCAGATTGCAATCTTCAAGTGACGCCGAAATCTATGGGAATATTTATTACGTTGTCAATATAAAAAAAACATATAATAAAACAACAAAACCTTTTTTCGTCTTAAAATGTGCAGAGAATAATACTAAGACATTGTAGCTGTGTGTGATGTCAGTCACATCACCAAAGCACATTGAGACTTGGTGATATGACTGACAATGTGTTCAGAAAACGTTGCTATGTCTAAAACCATGAAATAATGCATAATTTAAGTAATGCCAATTGTAAACCTTGTTATATTAACCCTATGAACACCAGAGCCAATTTTAGTAGCTACTTTGACAAAAATAATTATTTTTTTTTTCATCATTTTCGGAAAAATTTTGAAAAAAATGCTCAGCCAATGTGAAATTACATCTTTTTAGTTCAAAATAAAAAAAAAAGAAATTATAGAAAGATACACAAAGACATGTAGCACAAAAATAAAACTACAACATGCACAAACATGTAAACTATTTAACGCGAGACGATTTAACTTTTTGAATGCCATTTACAAAAGAAACCAATACCCGGTATAAATTTTACCAATATTTTTTCCCCCCAAAAAAATGATTATCAATTGGCGATTTTCCGTTCACTGCGAAATCTTGCATATTGCATGGATTGAACATTGAATTTCTTTTGTTATTGCTCAATATCGAAAAAATGCCCATCTTTCAGAGGGGAATATTGTGTTGAGATGCCCTTACTTTATTAAAATTGACAAACATCAAATATGTATATGTATAACACAATATAAAGCAAGGAAATACTTTCGCGTGTTGTTTCGAAGCCATTACGAACTTTCTTTGCCCTGTTTTTATGTTTGATTTCCTGCATAACACAGGATATCAAAGTGAACGGAAAATATATCAATAGGCAATGGGAAATTATGTCTAAAATTAATAAATATTATGGAAAATTACATAAAAATACAGAAAATGTTGCACCAAAAAATGACTAGAAAAATTGTGGTGTATCAAGAGGTTAATAGTCGTAGATATTTTTAAACATCATGGAGTGCTAAATTGCATAGCAACGTTTCTAGCACAGCGCAGCACAACGGACAATAACTATTACATAATACATGCAAATTAACAGTTGTACATTTGCTAGTCATTCTGATTCCGATCACACATCAAGACACATCAGACTTTCCAATAAAATGTATAAATACAACAGAAATTTGGTATCTCTTCCTAACTGCATACATTTTGAATATTAAGGGAATAGGCTGTATATGTATGCATGACCCCAAAAAGGTCACACATCCTGGTACTTTCTGGAGGTACAAATTCACTATAAGTGAGAATATCTCAATTAGATTTTTTTTTAAAAATACAAGGTATACCATAGGAAGTTATTTTTGTTATAGGACGAAAATACTGTAAAACATGTTGAAATAGCTACAGTTTAATTAGCAAATTTGACTCCATGCTTGAATTAACACAATCTTAATTCAGCTAATGAGTAAACAATCTTATGGCGAGAATAATTTTTTTTTTAAATTAGCGAAATCTTGAAATTATAGCTAAAGTAACATGCTAGCTAAAAAGACATGTTTTACAGTACCCTCCCACCAGAAAGCACCAGGATGAGTGACCTCCAGGGGTCATGCATAAAGCTGATGAGACAGTTTTCTAGATACTATTATTGAATGTCACTTACATGAAGAACTGAGATCCGTTGGTATCTTTACCACAGTTTGCCATGGAGAGGAGGTACTCTTTATCATGCTTTAAGATGAAATTCTCATCTGTAATGAAAGAGTTTTTTTTTTTTATAAAATTCCATCTGCTGTTGCAGTCCGAAATTTTAAAAGAATTGATTTGAAAATATCAACTATATTCTCAAGTTGCATACTCAGAACAATTAGCTTTAATGTAGTCTTGGGATTATTATGTGATCTATTAGTTTGGTTTTGAACACAAAATGAGGATTCACCAGGATCAGTGTGCCCTCTTCTAACAGAACTGCTTTTGTAGGGATCCTGAGAAAAACTGTTATCTTTCAAAATCAAGTTGAGTCAGGTTGTTGACTACTGAAAAATATAATTGTATGTGACAGTTGACAGTATAGGTGTCCAACAAAAATGTTGTGGCTTCTGATTTTTTTGGTTTCTACTTCGTCTATAAAATCTGAATTTCATTTCACAAAGTTACAAATTCCCCAACTATATTTCAATATTTTTAAAAAATCAGAATTCTGCCTCGTTTTTGAATTACCACAGTCCTACATGTGTTTGAACATAGAATCAAAAGGGAAGCCAAAATGATAGCCAGCATGTCATTACATGAGTTATTATATATTCCCCTTTATTCGCACAAATTCAGACTATCAAATATTTCACACAATCGTCCCAAGTCCCCAATAAAGATGCGTGAAAGCTTTGAGAAAAAAAGGATATACAGACTAATCACATGACTATAAGGTTATTACGAGAATCCCTCAGCGGAGGGAATGCCGAATTTCAAAATGTTTAGAGCAGAATCAGCGAACTTCTTTGTGTGGAGTCTGGTCAAACTCTGGTGGCAGCCATGTTTGTTTTTATTAATTAGTGGACGCTTACGCGCGTAATCATTCCATATTTGGAATTTGCAAATATGATTTGCAAATCTTAATATAGTAGGATGAAAATACCACAAAATTACGACACGCTGTGACTTATGCGGTTACGGTGACAGATGTATAATAATATAGCTCATTCGCAGTTGTGGGTAGTACAAAACAAAATATTTGCATCTGTGTGAACAACAAACCTAATGTGAGCATTTTGGTTTTCTTATCATACGATCAATACAAAATTACTACCAATATATTCTCACAAGATGCACTTGACATTGACATTATTTAACAGTGCAGACAGTAAATGTATATTTAAACTATTACTTGGGCAATGTAATACACGCTGGTAGCTGCAGCAGTGAATTTACGGGCTTATATACTTAGGTATTAAGCAAAGTGGCATAGTTCCTACAACTTTTTTTCAGTGATTTCAGAAATCAGAATTACTGTTAGTGACGTATGATGAGCTTATCTCCTCTATGATTGGCACAATTAACACAATTTACTGTATTAAAGTTGTTTTACAAGATTCTAGCATGGGTTCGGCAATGATCACCAGATATGCCAATAAATGTTGAACTGTAAAATGGGATGTTGAAAAGTATGACATCACTATTTAGTGTTAGTAAAAAAAAAAATTGCATAAAAAAACTACCTTTGAAAGCTCCATTATAAATAGACTCCCCTCCAGTCCCATTACCTAAAACAGAACACAAGAACATCAGTTAAGACAAATAAAACAAGCTAAAATTGAGAGTACACAATGTCGTCACTGACTGAATTTGAACCTTTTCACCATCTTTTCATCACAAATTCACAAAATACTCCTATTTATTGTGTGCACTTTCTTTCAGAAAATTTGAACAAAAATAGCCAAATTTTTTGAGTAAAAAGTGAAAATAGACTGAAATTTAGTCTGTTGGCTTCAAACTTAGGGTTTATTTCCAGAAATATTGAAGAAAAAAATGCAGAAAAGGTAGGCAGGGAAGTCTGACAGTGATAAGGTTAGGGGTTCAATGAAAAAACCCAAAAATCTACTTTTGTTACCTTTCTATAAATTTTGAACAAGCTCTGTAGCCAACAAAACATTACGTCCATTAGGTCCAAAAACATTTACAGAAAAATTGACAAAAAATTTGGGTTGGAAAATTATGGCACTCAGAATGTTAATATGCAATTATTTTAATAACACAAAAATTTGTCACTACAGTAATTTTTAGGGAATACACATATTATACAAATGAAATAAATGTGATATATAAACAAATGAGTAAATAAAATTAAGTAAAAATATATATTAAATAAATAAAGATATCCCAAAATAAGCAAATGGCATATTGGAAAAACAGATAAAGATAAACTTTGTGGCGGCAGATTATGTTAAATAATCCACACACCAGATGGAACATATTTTTCAATTAAACAAAATGAGCTTTTTATTACATAATCCACTGTTTGAAAACTTACCAGCAGTGAAATCACCGCCCTGTATCATAAAGTCTTTAACAATACGATGGAATGGACTGCCTTTATAATACATCTGTTTACCGGTTGTCTTCCCAATGCCAAGTTCACCTGCAAAGTTCAATGTCATGAGTTACAAAATGTGAGTATTGAGAAAGACGTCTAGATAAGCAAGAATATACTGTACACAGCTTCAATTGCAAGAGAGAAAGCTTTCAAGATTACTAGTATTTGACATATCTAAATGCTACAGGATATCAACCAGCTTATAAATGTCATGCAATTAAATAAATAAAAGTTCCAATCACCAAAAGTGGAATTTAATAAACTGTGTAAACGCTAGATTCAAATGAAAATACAGTATTTGGCGTGTACTTTGACTGCATAAACTATTTATTAAAAATATAAAGATTACCTGTACACAGACATCTGAAGTTCTCGCATGTCTTGGGACAGATGTCGGCAAACAACTCAAACACCAGTCGGCCAGCTTGAAATGAATATATCAAACATTTAACCTTGTGAACATTGGTATGAAAAGAGTAACACATGTGACAGAATTGGTTTGTATTCTCCTCGAATGTTCTTTTTTCAGTGCCCCTGCTTATTCACAAAGTATTGCTTACGTATATTTTGCATTTTTGAATACAGAAATAATTTGCATATTTTCATCGGATAATACTGTACCTTGATATCTAGGTTGCATACATTTGTCTTATACATGTAAATATCATATACATGATGTGTGGTAAAAATGGCACAGTGAAACTTTCCAAGGCAATAATAATGACACAATGTCTTGCAGCAAGACATGATCCGAAAAATAAAAGAGAGGATTATGTTTCTTTTTAGCAATCATGGTATTAAATACCCGACACTGGGGTGCTATAGACACTATTAATATACTAACTACATGTATATCATATGTGATGCGAGGTTGGGTCACTTCCAGTAGAATCAAAACAATTTCAAAAACAAACAAGGTTTACAATATTTAAAGCGGGGGAGTCATCACCAGCACATGCGTCAGATGGCCATAGCGTGTCATTGTTTACAAACCCGTGAACCTTTGCGTTTTTAGCATGTGTTGTTATCGTCGATTGGGACTCAATTCCCGCGCGTGCGCAGATGACTACCCTCTCGCTTTATTTGTACATTGAAATTTACATCTGATAAAGCAAATACGAGACTGTGTTCTTACCAGACACTCCATTCACTTCAATATCAAAGAAGCAACGTGGTCTGCCCTTGACAACCATAATTAAGCGCTAATAATAAGTCTGCAATGATAATAAACACACAAACATGCAGCATAAATATACCGGTACGTTAAAACAATACTGTAAAATCATTTATTTTCACTTACATTTAATATCATTATTTTGATGTTTTGAGCATATTCACTGTCTTAATTTCGTGAATTTGTCAAGGAAACAATGAGTTTTATTGGTATTTTACATGTTAACATAGATTTAATTTAGCGGATTTGACTTAAAAGCAAAAATAGCGAAATTAAAAGCCAGTAAATAATTAAATGCATTTACAGTACTTAGTGAATGTACAGTCAAGTGGAGCATTTGTTCTGGTATAGAGCACATGGCTATAGTCAGTATTACTGAAAAATACTTCATTCTTGCTATTTTTGCAAAAATTTTAAGGAATGATTCAGTGGAAATAAAATCTAGCGAATGTACATTATTGTCTATATTATATTATATTAAACTTTAATCAAAACCTGTGAAAATTAATTCTGTACAAAACACCCGAAAAACTTTTTCAGCAATACCGCAACTGATTCCAGCTAAAATAAAGTATTTTACAGTACCAGATATAAAATCACATTTTTAGTTTATGGATTTCATTTCAATTCTAAAGGACTGAAAGTTACAGCGTTGGTGAGTTTATTCTGATTGAAACCTACCATATTTTGACATTTGTTGACTGAGATCAATAAATCTACTGTAATCTGTAATGTACTGTAATCTAAGCTACTATACCGCATAATCTCTAATTTAGGCATCATGTTTTGAACATTTCAATCATTCCTGATGCCTAAATTTAGGTTTTCTGTTGTCATTGACGTCTATTCAAGAGTACATGGTTTATCGGGGTAGCGTGAATGAGTAAACTGTGTTTTGACAATGAGCTCTTTTTATCATAAAAAGTGTTAAATTCTTCTTTAAGGATGCTGTACATCTTTTTTTTGCTTTGAAACCCAAAATTCTACTTTTTTGTATTTTTCAATGCTGGACTACAAGGAGCAAACACTCAGTAGGAAAAAAAGTGAATTGAATGTTTTTATAGGGTGTAAAAATCAATTTTTGTTAATTAAAAACGAAAGCACATGTCATTGTTTTGAAAGCTATGTTTTAATTAATCAGCCAAAGACATAATAAACAGATAATTTGCATAATAGTCACCACCCATAGCAAATATAAACAGTCTCTTGCATTCAGTACAAGCTCAGATTAGTAATAAGAGTACATTTTTGTATTAGTAGTCCGAGGTACAAGTTACACACACTCCATTTACGATCGTCCACAAATTTAATTTTGTTGAATTTCTCTCTCTTCAAGCAGTCGACTATGACAGTGACGAAAGAAAACGAATGCAAGGAAATTTTGAGAAGAACGTCGACAGTATGTAAAGCGATTATTATAAAAATTTAATCATGGAAGGTACCTTCCACGATTTAATTGATCAGACCATGGAGGTATAAACAGAAGGTAGAAAATT